CATATGGTCCTGCAGTCTCCCCCAAAGTCAATAATGCATCTCCATGCTAGAGAACTTCTCCAGCCGTATCTGGGCATTCTCATGGCCGTACATGCTTCCACAGTGTGCCACCTCCGCTTTTGTATGGCTGTGTTGTTACTTCGACCAGCACAATTAACCACAATCCTGCCAACTAATGTTAAAGCCATGTTACTATCTAGGCCAGCCTTACTTAACTAGGTGCCCTCCGCATGTGTTGGACTACAATGCTCATCATCCCCATGCTCACTGGCAATTGTGGGAGCTGAACACATCTGGAGACCATGGGATTGGGAAAGGCAGTCAACACCATCCTTAGCTATACAAACACCTACCTAGCTGACACTGAATCTGCCCTCATGCTCGCCCCTTATTCCATGCGATGTCTACCTGATGCTTCACATGCCACCCCAATGCACCCCATCAGCTTTCCTATGGGATCTACTCATAACAAGCACTTCCTTATTTCTGGGGTTGCAGCTGGAATCAAACTTAAGAGCATGATGCCCAATAGACTGAGCTGTGTGGTGCATGTAAACAAGGAGCCATTGGGTCCTACAGGGGTCCACTGTGCATGCCAAGCCACAAGGTACATTTGCAGAGGTGCATCACACCCTGTATTGTTCCTTCACTCTAAACTCCTGGGCAAATTGGTCTGGGGGTGGGAAGGACGGGGATTTCATTTCATTGGTTCTATCACCCATTAGGCCACTTGGCCTCCCTGGACTCTGCCCAGTGCCCAATATCGCCTCCCTCTATCTTCCTGGCCCTTCTGCTTTCTGCTCCCTTCTCTGACAGTGTACCTACCTAGTGATCAATGATTTTTCATTTTGCTGAGAAACTGGCACAAACAGTAGAGTTTACACACTCGCTGCCTTTCTAGTAAAGACAATAACTCAGCACTTTGTCATCACAGGAAATGGGGGCTACGGTACAGGCACTGATGATGTCTGCAGCAATATTTCCAATGGTTCCCCCGTCTCAGAACAAATCTGTTACTGGGGTATGATTCAACTATTTAGGCTATGGCTCAATAATAAAGCCAAGCAGCTTTATGTCTCTGCTGAATGTGTGCGTCTGTGTGTGTCCGTATCTGGAAGGACACACAACCATCAATATACTCTCTAAAAAAAGTTACGTGCTGAGAGCTCTTTCATCCTGGTTCTCTTCAGAGTGCATAAATTGAGGCCTGAGCTCCATTATTCCTCTGTATTTATGGCTGCCCGTAAAAAGAACACCAAATCCACTGAAAATGTTCAATCTGAAAGAAAGCTGAAACATATGAGACTTTTTGGGTTAGGTCTGGTGACTCAACAGCAGTTATTTGTTTAATGGAAGACATATCCATTACCAACTCATAATAGATGGTCCAGAACACACTTTAAGTTACATTCATTTAATGTAATGCTTCCTTATGAATTTCATTTTGTTCTTTGAAAATCAGGGCTCAGCATGAGAGTCTTGGATGTGCTGGTTCTCTGAGGGAAGGTGCAGTTCCTGGAGCTGGAAAAGAATATGGCCACTCTTGAAGAATCCACCACTGGCCTAGGCGGTACCAACAACTATCACTCTATAGCCAATCTGCCATAATTAGGGAAGGAACATTTTAGTTCCAAGTGCAGCACTCCTTGATAAAATGGATTGCCTGGGTCTATGCAAAAGCCCATGTGGTGCAGTGGCTAAGAGTGCAATCTGGGTTCTAGTCCCCACTGGGTGACTTTGGGCCAGTCACAGACTCTCAGCCCAATCTACCTCACAGGGCTGTCCTTATGAGGATAAGTTTGAGAAGAGGAGAATGATGTAAGCCACCTTGAGTTCTTTGGCAGGAGAAAAGCTGGGATAGAAATATAATCAACCAATCAATCAATTGGTAAATAAATAATCTGAGTTATCCTGGTGGCTGACCTGTGCTGGGAGATGGATGGGGTGGCCTCTTGGTTTTCCTGAACATTCAGCACCATTAATTCCATGGGAATTCCATGGCCGCTGCAGTCCTCCTTTGAAGGTTCTTCTTAAGGTTTTTCTTGTGTTTCGTTGACTTTCACCTGCACAGGCCATCAAATAGAGAATACATTGGACTGTATTCTCTTCAATACTGGTCTCTTCAAATAGGGGACTGTCCTCTGAAACGGCCAGAGTTCCTCCATCTCCTTCAGCTCTCTGGGCGGCCCCAGGCTGTTAGGGCCCTCGCCATGTCCTCAACACCGAGCCTCAATGGCACGCCTGTGCGGGGACAGAGGGGGAGCAGCCGCCAAGGGCTCACCGTGAAGTAAGCACCAAACCCTGAGCCGTCGGACTCGCCGGATTGTAGGGACTTTGCTACATTACACCAAATGCACGTTGCTTCCTTAGCGGGAGCTCCTTAGCATAAATGCTGGCCAGTCCCTGCATAGCAAGATCTAGGCCTGAGGTAGTTGTCTCCAGAAGCACTTGGAAGGGGTTTCTATTCATTCCCCTCCACCCGTAAATGAATGCTGGAAAATATTTGTTAATCTTTGCAGAGGATTAGAAGCAAACTTGGCCTGAGGCCAACGCCATGGAGAATATTTTTACAGCTCCAGTGGCCACCAGAGGGCACCAGAGGACCAAACAATGCCAAGCCAGCAGCAATGTCAGCAACCTGTCCTTGCCGCTGTGACAGCAAATCCCAGTTAGCATTTAATGTTGCTTATTACAGAACGTCCAGGGTCATCCTTTTGATCAGCACCGGGCTGAGGCAACAGGGAGAAACGCACACGCACGCTGAGGTTAGCTCATTTACTGTCCTCTTTTCTCCACACCCTACCTCAGAATTTCAAGGCAAGGAAGCCAAGAATGATCTGGCAAGCTCAGGGGACTGTTTAGCCCAGGGCCTGGCAAAATTTCTGGGCCTGCAGGCACCACTGGCACTTGGAGAAACTGTCCTGGGCAGCACCACAAAATGGCTGCCATGGGAGGTGAAGCTAATTACAAAGGAGTACCTAACCTGCCCAAAGAAGTGATGTTGGAGCACTAACTGCACACACACACACTTCTCCTGACTTAAAATCCATAGACCTCTCCTCACATTCACACACACTCTCCATTAAGGTGTATTTGTGTATCACCCAAAAAGAGGACATCTATTTGTACATATTTTGCAGCTGCTAATTTATATGAATGGATGCAATTTTAGAAATTATTATAATTTTAAAAGAAATGGATAGCATCTTGCTATAGTGCGAAGTTCGTGACCAGGTAACCTGGTTTCTTGTTCTGCTGTCCAGGCTGATGCGCATTTCAAACAGCAGGACCTTCCTCTGATGGTCATTTACCTTTAAACTGGACTTGGAATGGACAGATCTTGAAGAGGAGGATGTTTTCAAACTTGAGGGCAGCCTTCCAGAATCCTTTAACTAGAAGATTGTCCTCTGTAAATGAGGACACATGGCTAACCATCCATCCTTCTTCCTACCTACCTTCCTCTCCTCACTGTAAGCACATGAAAAACCACAGATTCACTTTTTTTGAGTTGGAGGAGGAGAACATCCTAGCAGGCATCAAGAAAATCCTCTATGGGGTGTAATGGTATGAATAGTATATTCATTTATATGAATGGTATAACCACATTGCCCATCCTTGGTTTAGCTTAATACAGGGATAGTCAGATGACTAAACCTGGCGTTACAGGCCCTTTTTTGGACATAATATCCTTGTCAGGTCTGCTGTCCGTTAGCGTACTTGTTCTAAGTTGCCCTCCATGTCTGAGGACAAAGAAGGAAAATGCACCTGTGGCACTGGATATTCTTTCAACCTGCTCTAATGAGCACAGAAACGTTTTGCTGCCGTCCTCCCTTTCTCTGGTAGTGTACGAAGGAGGGTGGAATGAAGGAAGACAAGGTACTCCCACTATTGCTACAGCTGGTCAAAGAAATCAAAAGGCCCTTCCATCCTTGCACTGCCCTTTTCAAATCTGATGTAACAGCCAAGAATGGAGACTTGTTAACCATGTTCACTTTGCAGCCTGCTGGTCGGCCAGCTCTGGTCCAAGGCCAGCTTGTTCTTGAGCTCAGATAAGATAAGCTTTGTGCCCCTCTAAAAATGTATTTAAATAATGCAGCACTGGCACATCTTCTTGGCTTAACCCCAGTCACAGATCTGGAATAGTTCTTATCCTTGGAAGAAGAATTATAATATAACTGACTTAAATCAGAAGTTTAGAGATGTACCTCATATTCCTAGTTTAACGACAGAGTACCAGACTAGGATTATACGATCTGTGTCTTAGGCAGATGTTCTTCAGTTCAGAGATAAGGGACAGGAATATAATGGTTTTTAAACTGGATCCTCAATTTCACTCAGTTTTTTACAAAGGGGCCATGAAATGCACAAGAAGATAATAGATCCTTCCTTTTTTGACACCCCTGGTTCAATCCCATTTCACATGACAATCAAGTGCAATGAACTGCAGTTATCTCTTGCACCCTCTGCACCTGCAATGAAGCTGCATCTCTAGGCAACCCGTGTTCTGTCTGCGTCTTCCTATGACCCCTCTTTCCCCCACCCCAGATTAATTTGCCTGCCTGTATGCAACTGATTTATGGCAGGTGCCAATCTGCAGTGACCTTGCACTTTAGCTGATGTGTAATAATAAAGGGCAGCCAGCAGGTCAACTGTTTTAAGGGTTGTGAACTGGCTGGGTGTACAGATCAGCAATCGGGGAGTGCCTGGCCCCATCTGCTCTTGCTTCCACAGATGCAGCACTTCTTGCTGCTGATCCTAGTAACAGTGGTCCAGTTTTAGCTTACCTACTGCACCTGAGCTAAGGGTTAATGGTACCAAGATGTGATGCCTGTCTAAATCTGCATGCATGTCCTTTCAGGTATGAACAATGTATACATGGGTTTTGTGTGTGTGCTTTAACAACCTTCTGGTGCTTGAAATATACACAGGCCTTGATGAGGAAAAGGTTCCTCAGGTTATTTGTACCTGAATATGAAAAACCACAAAAAACAAACAAGTTACATTCATTTAATGTAGTGCTTCCTTATGAATTTCATTTTGTTCTTTGAAAATCAGGGCTCAGCATGAGAGTCTTGGATGTGCTGGTTCTCTGAGGGAAGGTGCAGTTCCTGGAGCTGGAAAAGAATATGGCCACTTTTGAAGAAATCCACTGCTGGCCTAGGCAGGACAAACAACTATCACTCTATAGCCAATCTGCCATAATTAGGGAAGGAACATTTTAGTTCCAAGTGCAGCACTCCTTGATAAAATGGATTGCCTGGATCTATGCAAAAGCCCATGTGGTGCAGTGGCTAAGAGTGCAATCTGGGTTCTAGTCCCCACTGGATGACTTTAGGCCAGTCACAGACTCTCAGCCCAACCTACCTCACAGGGCTGTTGTTGTGAGGATAAGATTGAGAGGAGAATGATGTAAGCTGCCTTGAGTTCCTTGAAACAGGAAAAAAGGTATAAAGCAAATAATAATGATTACAATAAAATGTTTCTGTGTGTTTGTTGCACACCTGATGCAGCATACATATGCTGTGTACTCCAATATTACAAAACATTTTACTTATAAATGACTGTCGGAGTGAAAAGGGCTTCCCTCCTTTGGATGGAAGATGTGATGATCACATGCTTGATGACTATGAGAGAATCCAGGTAGAGACTGGAGGGGAAGAAAGGACTGAGAAAGGGCATTGTGGGACAGGAAGTGGCACTGATGAGGTTCGGAGGAAGAGAAATAAGTGTTATGTGCATTTAATGGCAAGGAGTCATTTTTAGAAGGTCAATATCTAGTGTGAGCGCCAGTGTGGTGCAGTGGTTAAGAGCATGGAACTGGGACTGAGGCCATCTGGGTTCGAGTCCCCGCTCGGCCATGGAGCCAACTGGGTGACTTTGGGCCAGTCACAGACTCTCAGCCCAACCTTCCTCACAGGGCTGTTGTTGTGGGGATAAGATGGAGGAGGAGATGTAAGCTGCCTTGAGCCCTTTGTAGGAAAAAGGCAGGATATAAATCAAATAAATAAATAAATATCCGTTGTGAAAATGTGTTGACTAGCAATACAGCAAATGCACAAAGAGATCAAAACTAGGGTTTGTTGCCACTTTCTTGCTCTAATAGAGTCCTTTTTGCTCAGTGGAGAATATATTATACTCCTATATCTCACCACTAGAATTATTTCATTTGGTGGAAATGTAACTGCAACATCATAACAGAAATGGACCTGAGACAAACTTTGACATGTTCTGGTTTTTTTCAGTACAGCTGCTGAAATATTAATGTGAGGTGCAAAAGGCATGAAAATTGCCTTTGAGGGTACCATAATGGTGAGGATGCAATTTATCCATGCTGCATTGCTTTCAATGGGATGCACATTCTGATGCATTTAAAGGTGCATGCTCTTGCAGTGAAGCGAAGACACATGTTGGCCACTTTTTTACTTTCAACTAGATCTGGATCAGGGATTTTGTTAGTTTTCAGTTGGACCACTGGATGACAATGAAGCTAAAGGAGGATAAGGAGGTTGTGGAGAAGGAGAATGCATTCTTTTCAACTGTCTTCACTGTGGAAGATACAGGACAGACACTTGTGCCTGAACTGATTTGTGCTGGATGGGAGTCTAAGGAAAGGAGAAAAATAATGGTGACAAAAGAGGTTATCCTCAAAATTATTGACAAAAGTTAATAAATCACTAGGCCCAGACAGTATCCATCCTAGAGTTCTTAAAACCTCTGATATGAAATTGTTGATCTAACAAAAACATGTAGCACATCATTAAGATCAGCCACTGTAGCAAAGAACTGGAGAATGGGCCAGGTAAGCCCAGGTTTTTAAACAGGGAGGTGAGCAGAAAATTACAGGCCAGCTAGCCAAACGTCTACTCTAGTTAAATGGGTTGAAAGTATTGTTAAATATGAACTTAGCAAGTATGTAGATGGCCAAGCCTTACTGAAAAAGAATTGGCAGTTGTCACAAATGTTAGCACTGTCTCATTCACCTTTAGAGATTAGTGAGAATATCAATAAATATTTGGACAGGTGTGATCAGAAATGGTTTGACTGGACTTCCAAAAGGCTTTGGTCAAAGTTCCTCACCCAAGACTCCTGAACAACTTAACACTCATAAAATAAGAGGGGAGGTTTGCTTAAGGATCAATAACTGGTTTAATAATAGGAAGCTGAGAATAGGAATGGACAGTAAATTCTCCCCATGGAGGGATGTAATCAGTGGGGTCCCACAGGGATCTGTATTGGAACCAGTGTTTTTTAATTTGTTCATAAATGATCTGGAATGCAAGGTGAGTGCCAAATCATTTAGGGTGTTTAAAAAAAGAATTGTGAGGATTTCAAAAAAGATTTTTCCAAAATAGTCCTCAAAATGGCAAAGGTGGTTCAGTGCATGTAGGTGTAAAGTGATTCAAAAAAGAATGTTAATGGGGACTGGCAGGTACTCGCATGTAACACCAGTTCTCTATCGGTTACACTGGCTGCCAACTGAAGTCTGGGTCCAATTTAAGGTGCTGGTGATGACCTGTAAAGCCCTAAATAGCTTGGGTCTGGGATACCTGAAGGATTGCCTTCTTCCCTATGTGCCCTTGAGATCTGAGGTGGAGGTCTTGCTCCAGGAGACCTCCTTGAAGGCGATTAGGAGGGTGGTTAACCAGAGAAGGGCCTTCTCTGTGGTGGTGCTCCAACTATGGAATACGTTTCCCAAAGAGGTTCGCCTGGCACTGACACCATATTCTTTTCAGCATCAGGCAAAACCCTTTTTATTTTCCTGTTATTTCAATGTTTAGTGATTTTAACTGGGGTTTTTATTTAATGTTATTGGATGCTGTGCTGTTCTGTTTTATTCTGTTGGTTCTTTCATTGTAAGCCATGCCGAGATGCTAGTGGTGGATCAGTTAGAAAAGCTTAATAATTTTTTAAAAATAAATAAAAAATCCCAACTTCAAGCATCTGAACTAGCAGTGAGTGACCAGGAAGGAGATCTTAGGCTTGTGCTGGACAGCTTGATGAAAATGTCAACCCAGTATTCAGCTTCTGCAAAAAAGGCAAATTCCATGTTAGGCATAATTAGGAAGGAAACTGAAAATAAAACTGCCAATATAACCTTGCCTTTGTACAAATCTATTGTGCAACCACACTAAGAATGCTGCTTACAGTTCTGCCCACTGCACCCAAAAAGGCTATTGTAGAGTTAGAAAAAGTACAGAAAATGGCAATTAAAATGATCAAGAGGCTGGGACGATTCCCCTATGAGGAAATGCTACAACATGTAGGATTCTTTAGTTTAGAAAAAGGTAAGTAAGGCAAGGCATGGTAGAGGTGTACAAAATTATGCATGGTGTGGAACAGGTGGAGAGAGAGACATTTTTCTTCCTCTCTCATAATATTAGAACCTGGGGACAGCAAATGAAGCAGATTGATAGGAGATTCAGAGCAGATCAAAGGAAGTACTACTTCACATGGTATATAGTTAAACTATGGAATTCATTTCCAGAAGATGCAGCGATGGCTACCAATTTGGATGGCTTTAAAAGGGTATTGGACAAATTCAAGGAGAGGAAGCTTGCCAAAGCTTTCTAGTCCTGAGGGTTGTATGCTCCTTCCAGTATCAGAGACTTTTGTTGTGGAGCATGGACATGAGGACATGAGGCAGCTTGTAGGCAGCTCATTGGCCGCTGTGTGAACAGAACATAGGGCTAGATGTGCTTTTGGTTTGCTTTTCTGCTCTTCTCTTTTCCCTTTGTTAGAGGCGCTTATGTGTGTTCTGAGGAATGCCCAAGGAGTTTCTTTATCTTGCAAGGGCATCTGCGGGGGTGGCAGAGTGTGGGTGGGACAGCAGCAACCCCAGGGCTGTACCTGAAGGCCAAGATGCAGGGCCTCCACAGCCCAGCCCTCCCTTTCATGGTTCTTGCAAGAGTCAAAGGCAATGGGATAAGGGCAACAGGCCCTGAGTCAGCACTTGGCCTGGTGTGGGTATGACAAGAACCACCAGGCCGATGCCACTCGCTGAAGCACCGTTTCTTCTTATTTTTAACCATTTTAAAGTTAGGAAGCAAACAACTGGGTATGCATAAGCTCTTTTGACAGTTTTAGCAAGAAAGCAAGCTAGCTAGTTAGCTTGTTTCCAAGTAACTGTGTTTAGAATTGAGGCAGCATAAGCTAAATCCATTTTATTCTTATAGCTATGCTGTTATGATTTAAGTGAGTTTAAAATGCAAAACTGCAAATGATCAGAGCATTTCATATATATATCAGTGTTGGCAAGTAGATTTTTGTTTCATGTTAGGTTTTTGCTCCAACGTATCAGGAAGGTAGAAGCAGTGGTGAATCATGGAATGGCAGAGAGGGAGAAGAGAAACGTTAACTGAAATGTTCGCAACTGAAGTAATATATATGGCTGTCTAAATGGATCCCCATAAGATCATTAAGTCCCGGGTCTATAATTACCTAGCTGCACCACTGGATATGCATGCAAATCATGTCACTTCTGTTCATTCTTTCTCGGCCTGCTAAAATCATGCTCATCCATTCATTCAGTAGTTTGCATCCATTCATTCAGCCCACTACTGGGCTGAAGGTTATGGAATATGGTTTTTAATGCAGGTGACAGTAGGGTCGGAGAATATCTAAATATACCATACATATCATGGCTAAACAGTAGGCAACTGAAGTCCCTGGTGACGAAGCTGGCCTGTGGATAACAGCAAGATGATCTACCATTTACCCATGCTCTTCTGACCATTTTTATTGAGGTATTCCGTATTTATTGTAAGGGTTTATATCATGGCCTTCAAAAAGAAGAAAAAGGAAAAGGAAGGAAAGACAGAAACTTTCCCAAGATAGAATTACACATTTTAGTAAAATACAAAATAATATTATAAATAAGTAAAATAAAATTGTTATTGTGGCAATAAAACTGCAGTGAGCAAAATAAAATAGCTGCCTGCTGGCTTCGGGAAGAAGAGGAACTAGGCTTCCCATACATTACCCTCAATCTCTTCTCCCTGCTAGGACAAAACATGCAAAAACTGAAGCCTTCCAATCTCAATCAGCTATGAGCACACCAGAGCAGCAGCAAACGGGAGGAAGGGGAAGGGCAGCCCTTGTAGCTCTGCTCTGTCAGCTAGAATGAGGCCCTCTTTACTCTTTCAAGGCCAGGTCCCAACCACAACCCCAGTTGCTGGGAAAATCCACTTCTACTTCCCCTGACCTGCAGCTACTGTAAGAATTGCAGCTGGACCCAAAAGGGGTGGCAGGCAACATCACCACCCCTAGTCGTCAAAAGGCCCTGGACCCATGAGCCTGGCTACATGACACCACTGTTAGCACGTCTAGATTTGCTGACTGCTGTTGTCGTATGACGTGGGGCAGAGAGAGCTTCTGCCTAAGTGAGTGGAGCTCACCCTTCGGACATCACTGCTCTATTGCCCAGAAACCAGGGCCTCGTGATCGGCCTAATCCTGTCATAGTCCAGGCCCTCTCACACAAATCTCATCTCCCTCTAGATACTCCTACATATACATATACACAACCCCCCCCCCCTTGATACCTTTGGTGAGATTTTGCCTGCGTGTTTGCTATTGGACAAGATATCTCTATATTAACACTACCAAGTCCCCAAAAATGCCATTTTTTTTTGAGCCACCCAAGCTCTCCATTTTGCACACATTAGTAACAAAGTGTTCTGAACCTAGCTCATCCCAGGGCCAGCACCTAACAACTCCTTCCTCTTCCTCTTCCTCCTTTTCTCTAATTCCCAATAGCTGGAGTTTTCTGCACAGTTGAACCATGCCACGAGGGAAACATTTTGTCAAATCCCCTTCTTCCTCAGAATAAAGAGGAGCTTGCATGCTACTCTGAGCAATTTTGATGAGCATGTTCAGTTTATCCACAGAGGATGATGGGCCATTAATGCCCAGGTAGCCGGAAGTAAGAGATGTGAGCTAGGCAAGATTTCCAATTCATTCCTGGCTGAAAGGGTTCATTAGAGAGGAAATATTCCAGCCTTTGTATCTAGAGGGCTGGAAAGAGGCAGTAAGAGGTAGGCTGCTGTGGCCTGGGGAAGTCTGGCTATTACACCATGTTTGCTGGATCTTCAGACGGACAGGAATTTTACTCTCAGGCTTTTCTCTTCAGGCAGGCCTCTACATTAGAAGTGGGTGACCTGTAAGAGAGACTTCAAGACAGGCAAGCTTCTTGGTAGACTGGCAAAGTTTTAAGCCTAGAATTGCAATTAGGCACACATTAATTCTGCTTCCCTCACTGGTGGTAAAAGAATGAATGAAATGCAGGCATGGTTTCATATATAATCTACCTTGGCCCTGGATGGTGCACTGGAAACTGCATTTTGTTATTCTACTTCCATGTATCCCTTTGGGTTCCCTTTTATCACATCTCAACTTGGCACAGAACTTCTACTGCTTTTTCTGTGCACTGAACTTTCAGCCAGTATAGAATTTCCCAGGCTAGCTTAATCATTGCTCTTGGGACACAAAGAACCAAGAAGGAAGGAGAGAAAGAGAGAGGGAGAGGGAGAGAGAGAATCACAGGAATCATTTTTCAGTGATGTAAGGTACTTCTTAATGGTCAAAAATATAGTGGGCATCTGGAGTTACAATCAGGTTACATGTTTATTACTGATAGAGGCATAACACAATAAATATCTGCAAAGACTCATTATCAATAGTGAGCTAATTAACAGCAGTTAAAGTTGAGTGACATCAATTGAAATAGAAGCAAATGAACAAGATAGGAATACTGATATGGTAAACCCTGGCTGTGCATTAAAACTCATGGTTTCCAGTTCAGCTGCTGAATATTAACAACTTCATCTGCAAACTGATGCCAAAATCATGGCAGCGAACCAGTGATGCTTCAGCCTGGGTTCAGTAGACCATATGGCAACACCTATCCCAGAACAATTCTAGTGGATGACAAATTGGAGGATAATTCTGTGCCACTGCCACAGGAAGGAAGGAGAGGGGTCCCGGCGGGTTTTACTCTGCTAGTCGAATGGCTATAGGGGGTGGCAGCGCTCATCTCCATTTCTAAGGCCATGAGCCAGTGCTGTTTGAAGATGTTCCTGTGGTCAGGCGGCCAGCAACTGCCATAGAACAGCCCTTTAAAAATAATCTCAGTTGGTTCACTGTTAGCATCATTGGTACTCTAGTCACTTGTGTCCGTGCTTTCCCTCTTCAGCTAGGGACACCAAAACTTACCTAAGCTGGTAATCACAGGAAGGCAATACTGTCTAATCAATGGTCAATGTAAACCTGCTATTTCCTTGTTCTACCTTACAAACAATAGACTAGCCAGTGAGTTCTTGACTCTTATCAGTCTTTGGACTGAAGACCATTGTAACTGGTTCTCTGCTAGGCAGAGGTGTCCTGTAACATCAGGGGGGTGGAATTGATGGCCTTCATGGCCCCTTCCAACTCTATTATTCTATGACTCTGTGGGGTCTAAGAGGGCAGGGAACTGTGTCCTCAGGAAGTATAGCCTATAAACAGGGCTAAGCCTTTGGAAGCAGTGTGATGCAATCCAGGATTCTGGAACCATGAATCGTAATGCAAGCCAGGATGGAAGAGAAACCAAGAAGCAGGAGCAAGCTAGAGTTAGGAACGACCAAAGAAGACAGAGACATGTGCTTGAGCACAGTTAGAACTTACTGCACACACAAGGCTTGATTGGAACAGGAAGCCCTCTTCTCTTAGACTCGTTCCTATCCAGAAGTTTCCAATGGCCAGGCTGGGTAGACAGAAAGTGCCTAAAGCTTGAAAGAACTTCACTGAGAAACCGCTACAGCAGATCACTGGTTCACCACATGGGCATCTGCACAGAACTCCTGCCAGAGCGAAACACCTGAATACAACACTGAAGCTAGTTTGCAACAGTCTGCAATACTCAGACCTCCTGTTCTGAAGCTAATTCAGAACAAAAGTCAGTAGAGGCCTTCAGTTGTCACCGTGGCAAAAAGTCCTGAGCAGAACAGAGACAGAACGACAAACTGGACACTTCCATGTGGGCCACCTTGGGGACATTTCTTAAGCATGAAGGGCGCCTATTTAATCTGCCACTTACAGGTCACCGAGGAAAAATGAGTAGAACACCAAGGGGTGTTGTCTTACCCACAATGCTATCAGAGGTCATAAGTCACATCATTCTAATTATTAAACATATAGCTGGGAATTGGGTCACTAATGCAGATGTATCTTGACAGAGTGCGTATTGATCTGTCCAGGCAGAACTGGCAAATAATATCTATGATTTATCATTTGTGAGAAATTTTTTACATTGGGATTTTGTTTACATGAAGAAATAATAGCTTTTCCTCTCTTCCTTCAAATCATTCCTCAGAATCAATCTTTTCTACAAAACCTGTGGCTTTCCCTTTCTGCTTAAGCTATAGGTAATAGCAGCAAAGTGTTTTCTTTAGCCCAGCAGGTGATGATGGGACTTCAGCACTGGGCCTCTCCTTCAAAGTATCTTGGACTGGCAGTGTGAGCTGTCTTCCCCTGTGCGCCATCTTCTCCCCCTCCTTCCCTAGCTGTGTTCAGATTGGAGGAAAGCAGCTGGAGGGATCGGCAGAAGGGAAGGCTCTCCCGGCAGTCAGGACTGTGATGGCTGTTTTGCTGCTTCATTGGCTGGTTCCTATCATGGTCCAATTGAGACTGTGTTGCTACAAGAAGGTTGGGGAAGAAACACTTCCCTGCATGCTGTTTGCCCAAACCTCACCCACCTGAAGAGTGACTTTGCTGCTGACTTCCCAAACTGTTACGGAGTTGTTTCAAATCAGTGGGTGACCTGATCAACAATCCCTGGACATCACGCTCCGTTCCATGGTCACATCTTGGCTTGTGCCATGTTCTTCTTTCTGGCCCATCCTTGTCAGGCATAGGGAGGCCACTGGCACATCACCAAAAAGAGGACACCAATTTTTTTTACAACACATAAATATGCAGATATGTGCATAAAAATGAACTCTTTTTAAAAGTGTGATTTACATAGAAATACAATATATAATACTTCAGCAGGGAAAACTGACTAGATAACCAGTGTCTCTGCACTATCTGACCATCTACTAAGTATTGCTAGGAAATGGTTCCTCTTATTTAAACCAGACTTTAGTGGACAGCCCTTCAAATAAGTGGACTAATCTTTATAAAGTAGGACACCTGACCACTCTAGTTATGCATTGATCCTTTCACCAGAAGTCTGTAGCTCAAATCATTATTTTCTTCATTCCTCATTCTTTAGCAGCCTTCTCCATTCTGGTGCCTTCCAGATGTTTGGAATGCTAGCTCCCATAATCCCCAGCCAGTATGGCCAATGGTCAGAAATGCTGGAAGTTGTAGTCTTCCAGGAGGGTACCAGGTTGGGGAATGCTAGTGAACCTACTGCCTCCTCTTTTAAACTGCTTTCTTTTTCCTTTCCTTCCCTCAGTACTAACTCCCTGCCCTCATATCTAGATCTCACCAGAACATTATCCACCCAGTATTTCTGTTCCTGTTGCCCATTATAACCCTGCTAGTGACCTTTTCTCCTCAAGATCTACCATGCTCAGGTCTTCTCCACTTACTCCCCTCTGTTGCTAACTCCCTCTTCCTTCACACTCCTCCTTAAAAGCCCACCTTTTCTGCAATCCCCTCTTTGTTTAGCCCTTCCAACTGTATTTGAACCAAAATGAATCCTAACTATACTTCTTATGGAATCCTCTTGCATGCTTACTTCTACTTGAAACTAAAACCCATTTTGCCTAATGGATTTTACTCCCAGGTAAGTATGCATAGGATTGCAGCCCTTAATTATATTTTCTCACATACATGAGCATGTATGTATATTTCCCCCACTCCCATTCCTTCTCTCTCTCAGTTAAAATTTAGATTAAACTCTGCTTGTTTATCTTTATTTAGTATACTTGTATTCCAATCTTCTACTGAGAAAACTCTTAAGAAACTCATAGAAATAGTTTAATGACCCCTATTATAGAATTAAAACACAACTGAACAGCAGAGGTGATAAAAGAGCCACCATTAAATATTGGCTTGAGTTGGGGCTCTGCGTTCTTTTGTTGATATTCTTCTGTATCACTGGTGTACCTGTGTCCTTTTCCCAAGGAGTGAATAGCAGCTTCAAGGGTTTTCATCAGAAATGTAGAACATGTGAAGCTGCCCTGTACTGAGGCAGACTCTTGTTTCATCTAAGCCAGTATTGCTGACACTGTCTAGCAGGCTCTCCCAGATGGTAAAGAATTTTTCCAGGAGATGATGGGAATCAAACTCACCATTTTCTGCATGCAAAACTTGTGTCCTACCACTGAGCCACAGCCTCTCCCTGTTTGCAATACAGAGGGGAGGGTTAACTTCCTACACACTTCCATGCACTAAGCTCCAATTCTGATTCAATATTCCTTCCTTAACTGTTTTTGAAAACAGTTATCTAAACCACACAGTTCCACTTCATATCTAGACTTGGATGTCACATGCAAGAAATAGCTGAGTCAACTTTTAACTTTTGGGTTAAAGCATAAAAAGCTTTTCACTCCTTAGAATTTCTTCTTCAGGAAGAATGGACTAAAATAGCTAATACTTCAGTACATGAAGGACAGATTGACTTCATAATGAAGACACTATCTGTGTCTTGTACTGATGAATGCCCAGTACACAGACATTTAAATGACAATGGCAACACCACTAGCGCTAATCATATTTAAGTCACTCCAGACAGATACAGGCCAAATCACACTTTGCCATCACCTGAACACCTTCTTGTGTGTGCATGAATGCTAAGAGTTTCCAACTAGACCATTCATGGAGCTTCACAGCCTTCACATATGAAGGGTCTTTTTACTGTGTTGAACATGCACAGGTAGGAATATGATGGTGAGGAATGTAACAGGAAGCATTCCTCTGAGTACAGCAGGGGGAGTCAGGTGGGCAGAAACAGGCTGCCCCGATTCTGCGGGGCAAGAGTGCAGGTATGCACATTGCTCTCCACTCTCTGCCAGGTCCAGAATCCCCTCTTCCCTCACCACCATCCCATGCCGAGCTATTTCTTCCACAGCTCCCAGGTTGCCACCCCTCAGAACGGCCTCCTCTCCCGCCCTCAGCGTGAGGCACCTCCTGGAGGCGATGCTTGCCTGAGAAAGCAAGCGCCAGTCGCTCTCTCCCATCCCACTGCTGCGGGTGGTGGAGAAGATTTGATTAAGCCCTTCACCTGATGGAGGCAGAGGCGGCCAGATGCAGTGGGAGCCGCCAGAACAAGGCTGAGGCAGGGGGATAGTATGCAAACACATTTTCCAGGCCCATCTGTGCCGTCCTGCTGTCCTGCTGGTGCCACGTCTCTGCTCCCCGCCACACGCCCTGCTCCGAATCCCACCTGGAACCGGGAATCTCTCCAGCGGGTTGGCGTGTGTGCTGCTCCTGCTCCTTCAAGGTGATCTGACTCGATTAGTGCGGCCCTGGCAGGGGCGGCTGAGCGTGCGTGTGCCTGTGTTTGGAGGGAGCTTTCTAGGTTTCCTCCTCGCTCTCTCTTTTCTGCCTTAATTGGAACCCTCCGAGACCAGGCGAAATCGCATTAGCACCAGGCCCCGGCATGCCAAGCCATCCATCTTTTTTTATTACAGCGTAATGGGGCTGCTCGCGAGGCGGCGTTCGATTTGTCACAGGCCTCGTTCGCTGATAACGGGCATTTGTCATCACTTTCTGCCTGTGTTAATGTCATCATCGGCGAGCTGACAGCCGGGCCCGTCGAGGGAGCCCCAGCGACACAACACATCCGTCAAGCTAATATTTCCATGGCTGTGGGGACCGGGCGAGCCGCGGACACACATTAAAGCACCGAGGAGAGGACGGGAGAGGAAAAAGCACCATTGCCATTAATTAAAATGTTGGGGTGGTGTGCAGATGCGTGCATGGCGTCTTGCACTGGAGTGTGCCATCTGTGTGTGTGCATGCCGGTCCGTGGCTGCATGTCTCCCATTAACTGGCACCCGCGTGGATCATGGAGTGCATTTAAAAACTATTTGGGACTAGGGATCCAGAGCACGGTGCGTAAGAAGGTCACTGTTAATCAGCTAGGAGGAAGAGGATAGAGGGAGATGAGGCCATGCAAGAGCACCAGCACCTTGTCCCTGCTCTTCCCCTGGCAGGCGCCTGCTCCTTGATCGCATTATTATTGGACATCCGGCATATTGTCGGGCCTTTGGCAGCCCTGGCTCTGTTGAACCCAGGAAGCCTGACAGAGGCTGCCAATGAGCTCTGGAGTGAGTCCAGAGGAAAAGGAATTCTGCACCACTAGGTCAGGATATAGCAGCCTTCCCCAACCTGGTGCCCTCCAGGTGTGCCAGGCTGCACCTCCCATCATCTCCAGGCATCATGGATTGCTGGGGGAGGAGGGGAGTTATAGTCCTACAGCTCTGGAGGACACGATCATTCCAAGCAAAATCAAAGTGAATTTGAGTTACACAATCTGTATTAAAAAGGTGAACAAGGTATTTTAATGGGTATACAATGAATGGGCCAGGGCAGTGTTAGGTTGCAGGACAGGTGGGAGTTCTGAGATGCTGTCAGCAGCACAATCTGCAGCCAGGTGCAAATCTCTGCTCAGCCATTACATTCACTGGATGGACTTCAGAATAGCCTTCCAAGCCAGTGTGGTGCAGTGGTTGAAAGCACTAGAGCGGGACTCAGGTGAACTGGGTTCTAGTCCCTACTCAGCCATGGAGCCAACTAGGCCAGTCCCAGACTCTCAGCCCAGCCTACCTCACAGGGTTGTTGTGGGGATAAGCTAGAGAGCAGGAGGAGGAGAATGATGTAAGCCTGGGATGGTCTTTCTAACCCGAACCCTAACCTGGTGCACAACCCTAACCCCAATACACGGTTAAAATACCACTGAAAAAGTGCGATATAGACAAGGCTTCCTCAAGGACCTTTTTCTGTGCAGCTCAACATTCCTGCCCATTCCACGCATGATTAAGGTTAGGAGTGTGCATCAGAGTAGGGTTAGGGTTAGAAAATCGAGGTGTCCTGGCATGATTTTGATGGTTGGAATATTTTCAGAAGGGGCAGAAATGTTCAGCTGTGCAGAAAAAGCTACTTGTGGGAGGCTTTTTCAAAATCGCTCTTTTCAACGGTATTTTCCCATATATTGGGGTTACTGGTGTGCACCAGGGTAGGGTTAAGTTTAGAAAAACCAGGTGTCCTGACATTATTTTTATGGTTGGAATGTGTTTAGAATGGGCAGGAATGTTGAGCTGTGCAGAAAAAGCTCCTCAAGGAAGGGATTTTCAAAATTGCTCTCTTTTCAATGGTATTTCACACCTATATTAGAGTGTGCATGAGAGTAGGGTTAGGGTTCGAAAATCGAGATGTCCTGGCATGATTTTAATGGTTGGAATGTGTTTAGAACTGGCAGAAATTTTGAGCTGTGCAGAAAAAGCTACTTGAGGGAGGCTTTTTGAAAATTGCTCTTTTCAATTGTATTTCCCTATATATTGGGGTTACGGGTGTGCATCAGGGTAGGGTTAGGGTTAATAAAACCAGGTGTCCTGGCATGAGTTTGATTCTTGGAATGTGTTTAGAATGGGCAGGAATGTTGAGCGTTTTCGACATACCTCCTCAAGGATTACTTTTTCAAAATCCCGCTCTTCAATGGCATTTTAGCCCTTTGTAAGCCCTGGTTACCTAAAGGAGTGCTTACATCCATACGTGCCCTCCTGCCCCCTGAGATCGGCAGCAAGGGCCCTTCTCCGGGAGGCCTCCGGAAGGACATTAGGAGGGAGAGCACCCGGAGGACGGCTTTCTCTGCGGTGGCGCCCAACCTATGGATGCGTTCCCCAGAGAGGTCCGCCTGGCGCCGTCGTTATTTGCTTTTCGGCACCAGGCCAAGCCCTTTTTATTTAAATGTCATTTTAATGGTTGATTTTATTTATTGATTTTAACAACTTTGGCCAGGGTGTCTCCTACAGTATTTTATTGTATTAACGATATTTATTTATTTATAAGCCGCCCCCAGGCTTAGGCCAATGGGGCGGCATATAAGTCTTCTAAATAAATAAATAAGTATTAAATGTCAAGGGTTAGAAGTGTGCACGAGGGTAGGGTCTGGGTTAGACAAATTAGGCGTCCTGACATGATTTTCGTGTTCGGAATGTGTTTAGAATGGGTAGGAATGTTGAGCTGTGCAAAAAAAGCTCCTCAAGGATGGCATTTTCAAAATCGCCCTCTTTTCAATGTTATTTCAATTGCCTAATATTTCGAAATTGCCTAATTTGTCTAACCCTGACCCTACCCTGGTGCACACCCCTAACATTAATACAAGGCTAAAATACCATTGATGAGCGCGATTTTGAAAAAGCCATCCTTGAGGAGGTTTTTCTACACAGCTCAACATTTCTGCCCATTCTGAAAATATTCCAACCATCAGAATCATCCCAGGACACCTGGTTTTTCTAACCCTAACCCTAACCTGGTGCACAACCCTAACCCCAATGCACGGCTAAAATACCATTGAAAGAGCGCGATATAAAAAGCTTCCTTGAGGACCTTTTTCTATGCAGCTCAACATTCCTGCCCATTCTAAACACATTCCAAGAATCAAAATCATGCCAGGACACCTGGTTTTTATAACCCTAACCCTACTCTGAGGCACGCTCCTAACCCTAATATAGGGGTGAAATACACATTCCAACCATCAAAATCATGTCAAGACACCTGGTTTTTCTAACCCTAACCCTACCCTGGTGCACAACCCTAACCCTAATACACAGCTAAAATACCATTAAAAGAGCATGATTTAGAAAAACCTACCTTCAGTAGCTTTTTCTGCACAGCTCAACATTCCCGCCCATTCCTTGCATGATTTTGATGGTTGGAATGTGTTAAGAATGGGCAGGAATGTTGAGCTGTGCAGAAAAAGCTCCTCAAGGACGGGATTTTCAAAATCGCCCTCTTTTCAATGGTATTTCACACCTATATTAGGGTTAGCAGTGTGCATGAGAGTAGGGTTAGGTTCTGAAAATCGATATGTCCTGGCATGATTTTGATGGCTGGAATGTGTTTAGAATGGGCAGAAATTTTGAGCTGTGCAGAGGTCCACCTGGCACCGTTATTATTTGCTTTTCGTCACCAGGCGAAGACCTTTTTACTTAAAAGTTATTTTAACTATTAATTTATTATTATTGTATTTATGGATTTTAATATGTAGCCGAGATGGTACCAGTTTTTAAATTATTGATTGTAGTTTTATGTATGTTGGGAGCCGCCCTGAGGCTTTGTTGGGATGGGGGTGGCATAGAAAAGTTTTAAATAAATAAATAATAAAAAGCTACTTGAAGGAAGCTTTTTGAAAATTGCTCTTTTCAATGATATTTTCCTATATATTGGGGTTACGGGTGTGCATCAGGGTAGGGTTAGGGTTAGAAAGACCAGGTGTCCTGGCATGAGTTTGATTCTTGGAATGTTTTTAGAATGGGCAGGAATGTTGAGCGTTTTCGACATACCTCCTCAAGGATTACTTTTTCAAAATCCCGCTCTTCAATGGCATTTTAGCCCTTTGTAAGCCCTGGTTACCTAAAGGAGTGCTTACGTCCATACGTGCCCTCCTGCCCCCTGAGATCGGCAGCAAGGGCCCTTCTCCGGGAGGCCTCCGGAAGGACATTAGGAGGGAGAGCACCCGGAGGACGGCTTTCTCTGCGGTGGCGCCCAACCTATGGATGCGTTCCCCAGAGAGGTCCGCCTGGCGCCGTCGTTATTTGCTTTTCGGCACCAGGCCAAGCCCTTTTTATTTAAATGTCATTTTAATTGTTGATTTTATTTATTGATTTTAACAACTTTGGCCAGGATGTCGCCAACTGTATTTTATTGTATTAATGATATTTATTTATTTGTAAGCCGCCCCCAGGCTTAGGCGAATGGGGCGGCGTATAAGTCTGCTAAATAAAAAATAAGTATTAAATATCAAGGGTTAGAAGTGTGCACCAGGGTAGGGTCTGGGTTAGACAAATTAGGCGTCCTGACATGATTTTCATGTTTGGAATGTGTTTAGAATGGGCAGCAAAATCTTGAGCTGTGCAGAAAAATCTCCTCACGGATGGCTTTTTCAAAATTGCCCCCTATTCAATGGTATTTCAACCCTATATTAGGGTTAGGGGTGTGCCTTCAGGTAGGGTTAGGGGAAGAAAAAAGAGGTGTCCTGGAATGATTATGATGGTTGGAATGTTTTTAGAATGTGCAGAAATGATGAGCTGTGCAGAAAAAGCTCATCATGTATGGGTTTTTCAAAATCACGTTCTTCAATGGTATTTTAGCCCTATATTCGGGCTAGAAGTGTGCATCACGGTTTGGTTAGGGAATGAAAAACCAGGTGTCCTGGCATGATTTTGATGGTTGGGATCTGTTTTGAATGGGCAGAAATATTGAGCTGTGCAGAAAAAGC